GTATCGACCGACATTGATCGATGGGGCGTGAGAGACGTGGGTGAGCTTTTAGGGGCAACCACGCATCATTTTAAAGGACTACATAAAGCTCAGAGAACTCGGATCCAAACGAGTCTGTACTCTCCTCGGGATGTACTGTTGTTTTTTGGGGCAGGGGGGGCTGGCTGGCTTCTGGCACACCCCACAGCATCCCCTGCTCTTCCCCCTGCGCCGTCCCTTCGCCAGGAGACTCACCCCATTCTCGCCCCCGATGAGGTGCACCTCGTCCACAATGAAGAGGTTGACATTCTGGACGTTCTTGCGTTGCTTCCAGCGCCGGGAGAGGATGTCCCACTTCTCAGGGGTGCTGATGATGATGTTGCCTTTGCCCAGCAGCTTGAGGTCAGTGCTGGTCTCCCCCGTCAGCAGGACCACCTTCTTGAGGAGGCGTTCCTGGAACTTCTCGTACCAATCCAGGAAAATCTGGCGGGAGAGCAAAAGGAGGAATCATCCTCTCGCTGTCTCTTTCTCTACCTCACACATAACAGTCTCTTCAGGTTGCCTCCCTTACAATCTATGGATTGATTCAGACCAAAACATTCAATTTTTTAAATTCTAACTTTTGTCAAATCTACATTCCTCCCATTATTCCCAGAACACTTGGTGGGTGCAAAGAAACATGGGAAGGAAGGCGGAGAAGACTTTTGTGCAGGAAGATCGGCTTAGCCACCCCTCATTGACATCTACGGATGCCACGAATTTGGGAACGGGTGAAAGGGGACAGAACAGTGGCTGTGGCTAACAAGAGACATGATCCCACCCGGCCTCTCCTGCCTTTCGCGGCTGATGTGAGGCGAGGGGTGGTTGGGGGAACAGCACGCCCGGGGAACAGCACCTGCTCAGCCAGGGCCTCCATTGGGGTGATGTAGACACAGCGGCCCTCCGAGTTCTGCAGCAGCATCCTCAAGATGGCAAACTCCGCACAGATGGTCTTCCCGCTGCCAGTAGGAGCTCCCACAAAGACGTTTTCATCACTGTTATAGACCGTGTTGAAGACTGGAAGGGGAAGGGGAAGGGAAAAGAGAAAGTCAAACTCCGGAAAGAGCTGAATTTGTAAAGAGGGCGTTGTTTGGCTTCACGTAACAAACTGCGGCTAATATTTCTTCTTAACCTTATTTCTACGCAACGGGAGCTTAACAAGCCTTGACTGCCCAGGACGTAGGAGGAGGCTTCTCTCAGTCCACCCATGGGGAGAGTCTGTATCATGTGGTGGTCGGCCAGGAAGCAGGTTCAAAGCATCCTTCTCTACAGAATGCACAGAGTGGTTCTCAGTCAGTCACCCTCTGAGCCTGCTCTAACCTCACAAGGTTGCAGCATATGCTGACTTTCACTCCCCTCTGAATCTAATCTCCCTCCCGGGACTGCTGTGAACCTCCTAGGAACACCCATGAGGAAAATGATGGTCTAAATGGGGGGGATTTGACTTTGCGATGATCAGTTCCCTGCTTTGGGAACCGATTCTTCGCATTACGAAGATCTTTAAAGCTGATCCTCGGGTTCTCAAAAATGGCCGCCGGGTGATTAAAATGGCTCCCCGCTGTGTTTAGGAATGGATTCCTCGCTATACAGGCACTGAAAATGACCGCCGTATGGAGGATCTTCGCTGGACGGTGAGTTTTTAGCCCACTGGAACACACTGAATGGTTTTCAATGCGTTTCAATAGGCTCATTATTTTCGCTTTACGGCGTTTTCGCTTAACAGCTATTTTCCTGGAACGGATTATCGCCATTAAGCGAGGCACCACTGTATCTGTGGTCTTCAGAAACTGCACCGGGGGGGGCTTGGAACTGATCTCCAGGGGTCCTAAGGGTCAATGTAACAACCAGATTTGGTTGCAATTCTGCTGTGTGTCACCTTGTCTGCCCACAAGTGCAGGCACCCAAAATGCACCCACTGACTTGCCACTTGACGTCCTTGCCTGCCAGGAAGAATACCCTTTTCTCAGCCATCCCCACCCTGACCCCCCTGCCCCGCTGACCAAACGCCCGCCTGCCCTGCCCACCTTGGGTCTGGATGGGATTAAAGAAGGGGAACTTGTCTTGGTAGAGGCTCTCGAAGGCGCTGTTCCGCAGAGCAGAAACAGGCAGCGGCTGAAGGTCCAGCAGCTCCGTGGGCGGAGGATACTTCTCCGGAAGGATCAAGTGCCGGAAGGACACGGGAAGCTGCGTCTCGCAGGCTGGACGGATCAAACCGAGGAGGAAGAAAACAAGAGAGGAAGGAAGGTCAGCCCCATCTGCCGGGACTCCCGGAAAGGCTGGGAAGGAGCCCATTTGGGGGGGGGGG